CACACACACACACACACACACACACACACACACACACACACACACACGAGGAAGCACAGAGACTGTGGGCAGAGAAACAGTCGTGGTGAGACAAAGTGAGGCCAAACTGGGGGAAGTTCAGGGGAAACAAAGAGCTGCTGTAGATCTTACTGTAAGAGGTGAAGCCACATTCATCGCCATACGCCACTTCAGTTCCCATCAACTAGCGTCAAAGCATAACCAGAGTTCAACGTGTGTCAGAAATATACTTGCCTCTATACACGTACTTAACTGTAATAGTTTAGCCGCCGTGCTCTCAAACTTGCAGCAAACTGCGCAACACAAAGTTTGACCCTCCCACATCCTCTAATGCCACCCAACTCATTAAAATGCTCGCTTGTACTTCAGCTCATTTTAAAAGCAACAAACGTTGACCAATGTGCTGTACAGTGGTAAAACAATGAGACAACAAGAGGGCTCACTGTATAGCTACTTCCATCATCAGCTCCAGAAATAAAGCGAGAATAAAACAAAGAATTTGCCCCAAAAAACCCTATAAAGTATGTTTGATTGTTAAAAACAAAACACCTGATACAGTCAGAGAGTTACTACTAAAAATGTAACAGTAAAACTCGTCTCTGATGCAATATTCAAGAGAAATAATCTGCTAAAGAATTCTTCCAAATTGCTTTTTTAAACTAAACTTTCCTGCAGTTATTGAGTTCTTAATTGTACAGTTTATCGGTTAGTCTGCTCTGTTATTGTTATGCATTTAATATGATATCCACAATATGTCACTTAGTCTGGGGTCAGTTTGCTCAATGATAGAAAGGGGGTCTCTTAAGTTAAAGGTTGGTGACCACTGCTTTTGGGAATATGAGTGTCTGTACAGAATTACATAACAATCCATCCAATAGTTATAATTTATTACCCCAATTACCAAGTTTGACCAAACTTATAAATGAGCACCGTCAACTGACGGCAGGTTTTCTTTCTAGAAATCGAGACGTCTCCGCTTTCTTTACAAACCGCAGTCGGGGGATTTTATTTAAATGCTGCTATTAGAGAAGGCACAGAAAATGAATATAAATATAGTTACTTTACCCACTTCAACTGTGTTTTTCTTCTTTTAGACTACTAATCTCTGACATCTTCCTATAAATCAATGTCTGCCACTACTTGCTCGTATTCAGTGATGAATCACACGATAGTGTCTGAGCCTTGAGCGGCTTCATAAAAGCTTCAACATTTTCTCAACCCAGGCTCCTTATTGGAAAAGAAAATAAAAAAATCCTCTGGCACTGCACACAAGGACTGATGTGTTTCACATACTGGTTTGTCTGGAATAAATGGAGGTAGATCTGAATATCTAGCATGGGAATTAAAGCAGAAAAAGCTGCGGCCATAAACTGAACTATTAACCGTCACCATAAAAACATCGAGCTGGATCTCGTGGGCGTGATGGTGGCAAAGACCTCTCCGCTGCACTGATCGTATTCCGTCACCGGTGAACGGATGGCTGTCAGGAGATGCTCACCAAGTGAAAACCTGCTCAAAAACAACTCCTATATTTACACTCGCAACTCCCTTAAGTGATTAAACTCACATCTCAGGTGGACGGAGCGTGGCCCCGATTTTGTCCTTCAGGCTGAGCGGTGGTCTGGTTTCTGTGACTGATGACCCAGACGAGTCACATTCATCTTTTTTAAAAAGGACATTTTAAGTGTCTCCTTTATTCTGTCTGTTTTTGACATTCTGCATCCTCCTGACTTTCTCCTCTTCTTCATCAACCTTAAAGCAAGATTCCTGCTCCGTTTTCTTTCACACGTGACTTTTTAGCACAGAAATAAAAATGAGCTCTGAGGTATATTTTGTCGATATACGCCACAAACACACTTGTGAATGTGTGTGCTCGAAACTAGTCAGACATCATAACTTCAGAAACAAGAAGAAATAATGAAAGAGAGAGGAAAGACGATGTAGTTCTCGTCTCTCTCCAAGTCTCCTTTCCTATTGCCAGTAGATGAGCATGACAACAGGGTAATCAAACAGTGAAAATGTTTAAACCTGTGGTTACTTCTTTCCTTTATTATATATATTTCTGTTACTTATTCAGTCTCTCTTTCAAACTCTCAGACCTGAGTTTTGTTGGAACCGTGAAAAGACCTTCAAAGACCGTTTGGAGGAGTTTTATTTTGAGTGTTTTACAATTAAGCTAACAGCGAAGTCAGTTCATGTTCCTGTCAATGGAGTCTGGTAGTTTTGTAACAGCAGCCGTTTCTTTTTAAGTCTAACTTGGTGACTTAAGGCTTGATTTCAACCAAACCAGAGTAGGGGATAGTTTGAACAGTGGAAAGATGAACCAAGGCGGTTTTTGAGTCGTGTTTTGTTTCCGTCGATGGTCAGCGAGGTGAAACTGCTGCTGTCTGACTGGAGTCCGGTAGCTTTGAGGAGAGGATAATATTTGTTCATTTTGTCCAAATCCCTTTTGATTTTATTTATTATACTTTCACTTAAACGCGGGTCACATAGCACCGCACCAGAAAACATGTGTTCAGGGAATGAATGAATGTTACTTCACCAGAGACAAAAGCCAGATGTTAGTGGGTTTTTTTATCCAGTGGGGAAACGGGCTTCATAGTGTGGTGGTGGTGCATAGAAATACACATTTTCTTAAAATGCATCACATAATGAGTACAATGTAAAGGGAAGCAGTGATCTCTCTCTAGGCCTTCCCCTATTATTATGATGCAAGCACACACACACACACACACACACACACACACACACACGCACATGCACACGCACACGCACACACACACGCACACGCACACAGTAAATTGTACTCCAGTCTCTGCTCTCAGCATGTCGTCATGTTTATAACGGTATGCTAATGAGATGCTAATTATTTTCCGCCACCGGAGGAGAGGGATGAGAATCGGGACGTGTCTCTATTTTTGCATCTCTTTCCTCTTCTCATTTGTCTCCCGACTTCCCTTAGGGTGCAACAAAAAACAAATTACCACGATCAACTACATTTCCCACTGCGCTCCTGTGGGTGAGCTTGTAGTTCTTTAAAGATGATGCATGAGGAGGCTGCAGACAGAGAGCCACACGTGGACCAGACATCGCTCTCTATGGAGAGGGCGGGGGATCATATTTATAGGGATATAAATATTTAACATATATTTGATAATCAGGGTTATGGTTTTCAAACAAATAGTATAAATTAAAAGTTCTAAATAGTTTTTCAGCTAAGCACTCCTTATGTATAAGATGGTGCCATGTCATTATTATGGCAGCACATTATTCCAAAACCCCCAATGGTCCAAAAATCCTTGCGACCAAAAGCCCATTTCTTTCCAACAGCCCGAAAAACAAACAGAATATACAGCTAGTGTTACAGAGGTCTATTACTCAGAGACAAACTCCCCAACATAAACACTAATTATGAAGAATTAATAACTAATATACAACTGCTTATGATGCAAAATTACGTGGTGGTCTTGCTTTTCTTATCCTAAACCTAACTAATCTCACTCCTCATGCCTAACCCTACCCACCCCAACCAGCGAGGCCATCGAGTAACAACAGGCAGAGTGGTGGGTCACGCCTTCGCCGGTGGGATAAAGAAATCGGGACGGTCCGACGACATCATTCTGCAGAATAATTAGCGATGTTCCTGTGTATTTTCAGAACAATGGGCGTTTGTTTTTGGGATCCCAGACAAATGGGCTTTTCATCCAATGGGACGTGTTTCAGAGTCAGAAATAGAGAATATACCGAGGCAATTAATCAATTAGTCAAACAACGGAGAGTTTACTCTTAACGATTTAGTGTTGAAGTCCTTTTCTTTATGTGATAATGAACACATATGGGGGGTTTTTGTTTGTTTTTTTACCATTTTATAGATTTATTGATAATGAAAATGATCATCTAAACTTCTTCATGCACTCTCATTTGTATATATATTTTTTTTCTATTCTTCTATAACAGACTGGTACAGTAGTCCTGTTGATTGCACCACATGTTGGCACCTTGTTTTGTGTCTTGTTTGTAACTGTTCAATGTCTTGTTTTTGTACCTTGCACCGTATATGAAGTCTGAATGTTTGCTTCACTGCTGCTGTATATTGCATCACTCATTCGTCATTACTGTGCACTGCACTCTCTGCAGATGGACAGTAAAGTCTCTTATCTAATCTGAATTGTTGCAGCTCTTTGTAGGAGCTGCTTAGGAAACATGGCGGTATCAGTACACATTGGTTACAGTAGGAATGTCCGTTGTGTTCGGCTTAATTCTAGAGAGGTGTGCATACATCTGCACACAAATAGATAAGTCAGCATCTTTTCAGCATGGAGGTTTTTCATCTTCTAAAGCATAGACCATCTTTGATGTTTCCCACAAACTTGTCTGATTGGCTGCATGCCAGCAGGAAAATCAAAAGGTCAATAAAAAAACCTGATGTGATGTTGACACGATGACAAGCAGAAAACCACTAAGTGTGTGTGTGTGTGTTTAGAGGGAGCACACAGTGAGTGTTCTGTAGCTCTGTGTGAATTCACTACCGTACAGTCAAATTTAACGGTCACAAGATTAAGGTCACACTGCAGACACACTCCGTCTATTGTAAACACCACAAAACAGATGCACACTTTAAACCCACGAAACCTTTCCCTCCTTTGCAAATTAAAACCTTAATGTTCCTTCATCGACTGCTAC